GCGGCTTATGATCTACATGTTCGGCATGAACTTGGTGTAAATCAATGCACAATACCTTAATTCTCATTTTCTAGCTTTAGCAATTTTGGTACTACCTTCAACTTAGAATCATGGAACAAGCATTTCATTTAGGTTGTTTTTCTCTCCTACATATGCTGTGCTTTCACTTTGTTTGAGATAGCCTTAAACGAGGAGGGGGGGGAAAAAGTAAATTAACTTAGAATTGAAAGCCTTAACTCTGGAATTCCAGATTGGACAGACAACTGGAACAGTGAAAGTTTTATAGCACTAATTAAGCTCTTGACCTCATTTCATGCAATTGCATTGGAGTCTTGTCCTGGCTCTGCTGGCAGAGCAGGTGGCCTGTGCAGAGTGGGTGGCTTTGTGAGCATTAAACGCCGCCACAGATCGGTGCTCTGGCTGGGCTGTCTCCCAGGGGCTGTGCCGCGGTGATGCCTGCGGGCTCCCAAAGCCCCTGGTCCGGGTTCTGCCTGCGTTGCCAGTGGCCTGGCCTGGCCATCCAGCCGTGGCCTGGCGCGGGTGGGAACACAGCTCAGCCTGCCTGGCCGAGAGTGGTTGGAAAAATGAGTTCTCACACAGAAATGCAGGAGCATCGTGTTCTTGCTGTGGTCTAGGTAAAACCTTGATTTTTCTCTAGAGTCGCTACTGGACCTAGAGTGACACGCTTGTTTTGCTCCTAGGAGAAAAAGAGTTGGAAAGCCCCTGAGATGTCAGTACGGCCTTTTTAGAGGAGTGGATTTGATTTGGACTTTGAGTGGCAGCTACTGCTGATCTAAATGCAGCTGCTCCGGGTGTGCTGCACCTAATGCCACACAACAGCTGTTAAAGATTAATGTTGCCAAAGTGTAGACGGGGCAAGTCCAGGCACTCCTCTTGATCACCTCTAGACATTCAGATCACTGCAGGCGTTGGACAGACACTTAATTCTTGGTATTTAAAAGTTCTTCAGAGCAACTTATGAAGTAGGCTGTTAGCACAGAGAATTATGCTGAGGACTATTCTGAGGCTGCTGGAGTTACCTCCTGTGCTAATTGCATAATTCAATCAAATAGTCTCGTCTAGGAAGAATTACCTTTGCAAAGACTCAGACTTCGCAGACCTGTCCTTTTAAACACCGCTTTCTCTTCCTTAAACCAGATTTTCAAGAGAGGATGGTCTCTCCAAGCATTAATTCCTTTCTATATTGTGCTTTAACCAACTTTCAGATAACTTCCTTGCGATGACTATTACCTTTCTCGTGAGACTTGAGCTCCTGATTTGTCACTTACTTGCGGTACCGCTTGGACATAAAGTTGGGGACTCTGGCTCATCTGAAACACGAGGTTGTCACATGTAATTTTGGGAATCCCTTCTCTTTTGCCCTTTCCGCACAGCTTGACGTGTGAAAGCTGATGGTATTTTTGCTTGTTCTTACTTTGTGCAAGCCAACAGCAAAACTGCACCCTTTCAAAGATTACCAGTGTGAAAGTATGCTTTGATTACTTTCTCCTTCTGTTGCCTTCTCTCTCCATTACCAACTTAGGAACGGAAAATGAGCATTTAAAAGGTGTTTATATCAGAGATTATAGTATGCTAAAAGATGTCTGTTTCAGAATTGCCCAGCAACATGAGCACTTCTGTTTCTCTTGGACTTCGGTTAAAAAGTAAAAAAATACCTGACTTGTATCTCACTAGTTCTAAGTGCCCTGGTTTTGAGATCCATTGATAAACCTTCAGAGTGCTCATAACTTGTATCTGTTGTTCAAAATTTTTTTTTTTGTCTCTCCCCTTGAGTAAGGTTTGGAGGAAGAGGGGGAAAAATCACCTCTTTCCTGGTATTTGGGCACCAGTATGGCAGGAGGCATTGGACTTCGATATCTTAGGCGCTTGTCCAGCAGCAACTGTTAACTGCTCTTAGTGTGGGTGAAGAGTCTACTGAACAGCTGTTGGGGAAGAAACTGCTGGGTTTACTGGTCTGGGTTCACTCGTGCCAGTTTGAACTCTCCCATCCTCTCCCCCATTAACTCCTTTTTATACTATATTTACTTTAGCTTACTGAAGAGACCTATTTCAATTCTTCATTCTATTTTTATTTCAGCTTTCTAGAAAATAAAGTGCTTTAACAAAAGTCACAGTAAACAGCAGTATCTCACAGTGTGATTTGTCACATTGTCTTGTTGTGATTCCTGAGGACAGACTTGGGGACAGCTCTGACCGCAGCTCCTCTGCGCTGCGGGAAACATGGGAAGGCTTTGCTTTCAGCTGCCGTTTTGGTTCGTTAAAGTCACATCTGAAAGATGACCAAGCCAGAGGCACTGCAGCACCAGGGTGGCACATGCAGGAGGTAAATGTGCACTGAAGAAGAAAACCAGGAAAGAACCACCAGGTCAACAGGTGAGTCCCTGCTACTTTCCCCATCTGCCAGCCTGCCACGCTGCAAGGATCAGAGGACGCTGGCCACCACACAAATTCCTTGTGGCCGAATTCAATTTGGAAATGTTGGCGTTGGTGTTTGGATGTACTCTGCTGTGACCAACTAGCATTTGGCACCAGGGCTGCTTCAAGCAGAAGGAACGGTGTTCTGCTGCCCGCTCCCAGCCAAGTTACTGTCTCCTGCGTCAGTGAGCCCGTGGTAAGCTGGCTGCCTCCTCCGGGCAGTCTGTCGGCCCTCTGCACAGCACAATTCACTCAGGGCTCCTCCAAAGCTGACACGGAAAGAGATGGAGTGGATC